AACAGTAAATACAAAGCAAATGTTCACATAAATAGGAAACATTGAAGATGAACTGCCCAGATAGGTCTTCCAGAGACTGAAATGTATTCACCCTATTTGGTTTAAGGTGAAGCACCGTATTGGTTAACATATCGAGATTACATTCTGCACTGTCGTGGTTCGAGTCCCGCTAAGATGATAAAACCTTGTGGGAAAGCAGGGCTGTGTGAAAGTTCATTGTGATAAAATTCATATACCATTTCATGTAATTGATTTATTGGTAGCCTCGAAACCCTACTGATAAAAACGAAAAATCACGGAGAAGTTTACGATGAACCTATAGCTGGCAAAGTGACGTTGGTTCTTGAAAAAAGACAATTATGAATTGGCCACACAAAAAACATTTATACGATAAAACAGAATAACTCTGTTCCAAAAAAAACATGTGCGCTTAACACTTAAGATCCTTACAATTGCAGATTAAGCTTTGAATAGAGTGTGAGTTGGGTTTTATCTGATGGATCTAAGAATACTTAAAATAGCAATAAAACTTCATCATAGTATCGATATAATGAGTTGGTTAGATTTTAAGGAATCGAATAAGCTCAATTCACATCCTTGAGGATGTGCCATTGCCGAAGAAGTGTAGTGAAAATGTGTAATTTTATGTAATTTAATCCATAGTCTATAACCACAATAAAAGTTGAAAATAAACTCATTTATATGGACGACATTGTCTTGGAAGCATACACTAAAAAGGAGATTATAACTTACTCAATAGGCTGTGAATAATCAGTATTCGACATTTCTGTGTGCACTCCAGCGCAATCAATCGGCTTGTTGATTGTGTCGTTTCCAAATGACCTAGGCCTGTTGTGAATGTGTGAAGTTGTCACTGGGGCGATTTTCGCACGAGCAAAGATCTCATCGGCACAGAAATGGTGACATTCCGAGGCGGCGTAAGCTGACTGACCTGGCGGCGAGACTTCGGAGCTCGATGCAACATCATTAATGTACAGAAATGTTGTCTGCGGTTGACTACGGCCAAGTACCCATTCAGAGGCTAATGGAATATAAAGTGGAAAGCGTACAGGAGAAGGTGCACTAACAAAAGAAAAGAAGGTGAATGATACAATAGGACACCGATTAAGCAGCAGTTATGCAGCCGTTGCGGCACCAACTGCCACTTTACATCAATACAAGATCACCATGACAATAAAAAAAAGTTAAAAGCTACCACCAGGCTAGTTTTGAGGAGGTTAACACCGAGAGAAATCCAAATAATCAGCAAGGTTTATTTTTACAAAGGTTCGATTGACTGAAATT